GGCCGATGTCCGATATTCAGTTTTAAGGCCGATACCGACAGGGGGCCGATTATATCGTGCATCCCTATTATTTAGATAGCGAAACATTTAAACAGGGGGGGGGGGCATAGAGTGGTTTGGACAGATTCCAAAACAGCTGGTCGGACAATCCAAAATGACCGGTCAAAGGATGTTTTTTTACCTTATAAAACCTAGCATTGTTGCCCCTCCATGGCTGGCTCAGTCTCATATTTTGCATAACAATGGGAGATATAACGATATAAAAGAGACAGAGAGGAAGAGGGAAAAAAAAATAATCAAACTTCTGCCTACCAATAAAGAAAAACTGAGGCAATAATCCACACAAGCTAAACTAAATTGGGCACTGCCTCAATATAAAACCAAAAATCTCCATGTAAAATGAGTCTCCCTTCCAGCTGCAACAGACAGTGGGGTCAGGGCTTTGTGTAAGTTACATAAAAGCCTATTATCAACAGTGCAGGCCGTTGGTGAGGACATAATGATAAAGGTAATGGTTTCACAACACAGTTTGTTCTTCTTATGGTTAAATTAGCATAATTTGGATATCACACTCCACCTCTGTATTTTTACCAGCCCTAATTGTCCTTTTATTACAACCGTCTATATTTCTACTGATAACTACTTTCAGGATAATGCACCCTATGAAAAATGCTAAAACCACCTTGCTTTGTTTTAACCTGACAATGAGTTCAATGGTTTCCACTGTCCCCAGTTCTCAAACCCTTTCAGAAAACCTGTGATCAGCTCCCACATGAGGCTGTAAACCTGCAGGTCACAGAAAATCCACATTTTAACAGCTGATATTAACAAAATGTGATTATTCCCTCTCTTTATTTCAGTATCCCAAGTCTTTCCCACTGTTGTTTCGATGGTCAGAGACAGAAACACAAAACAGCTGCATCAGAGCCGCTTTTAGGATGTGGAGGAACTAAGGATTGTCATCATGGACATAAAACTGACAAAACTGCTCCATACTGGTGATGCTACTGTGCCAAAATGCAGCCAAACAACCAGATAATGGTTTCCTAAAAACAAAGCCACATAAAATGAGGATCATAGGGGCATGAGGAAGAGGATTAGGGCCACTGAAAAAAAAAAAAAAAAAGTTAACTGATTTTTAAATTTAATTTCAGTATAATATGACAAGACAACTTTTTTCTAACAATTCTGACTTTAATCTCCGTTTTCTGACAGCTAACAAACCTGTTAGCATCAAGCCATAGCCATTACTGTTTTAGAGACTAGCTCTCTTGGTTTAATCACCTTCTGCTCTTCCATCAATGAAATACCATTACGGGGGACCCCTCGGGCACGTAAAAAGTTCACTAATTGCATCATTTTCCACCAATGTGTCACTGGCCCTCCCAAAAAACTCACATCTTTATCAGTGAAGCTGAGTGCTCCCACA